CTTCAGCAGATACCTTTGTCTCCACTAGATAGCTTTGACTTTGGCTTCCGTAGATAGCTTTGGCTCCCGGCAGTGGAGCATGCCTTTAATCTAAGGACTAAGGGAAGCAGAAGCAGGCAGATCTCTGTGTGTTACAGGTCAGCCTGGTCTACAAAACAAGTCCAGTACTTCTACACACACAGAAGCGCTGTTTCCAAAAAAGAAAAAAGAAACAAAAATAAATAAAACAAACTAGTTCTTAAGGGGTTTGCACTTTAAGGTTTCAGCAGCTGCCAACACTGCTTTCTTCCCTGAGACTCTGCAGGTGCTCTAGGGAAGACAGACTCCCACTGAGCTTTCTATGGAGGTGTTGGGCAGGACTGCCAGTGGGAGGAGCCTAGGAAAAGCCGCTGGCAGAATTGCTCTAGACTCTTGATGTTTTTCCTTGAGTTCACCCTAGATTGTCGTAGTGAGCACTGGGCGGCAGTTCCCATGTAGATGTGGAAGAAGAGAAGGCAGCTCCTTGATGTGCTCTCATACAAGCTTAGGCCAGAGGCTGGACGGTTTCCTCAGCACACAGCACCAGTCTTTAGTGGATCGTTCCTGAAATCAGAGCTGATGTATCCCACACTTCTACCAGACCTAAGTACCACATTCCATGCCTTATCCTGTTTGGAGACTAGGCTTTTTGTCCTAAGGACATTTTTCACTCAAGAGAAAGATTATCTGAGGAAAATGTTCACAATTTTCTTTATAAAGTAAGCAAAAATTAAGTAGAAGCTATCAGCTTTTATTCGGTTTATAGTGAATGTTAGAACTATTTCAAGATCAAAGTAGCTAAAACTATATATAAGAAGTTGATGGAAGAGTGAAACCATGACAAAATTTAAATACAAATTTCAACTTGGGATATTTGAATTTATTAAGAATAGGGGTACATGCCATTAATCCCACCACTCTGGAGGCAGCAGCAGCCAGATCTCTGGTTTTGAGGCTAGCTCGGTCTACAAACTGAGTTCCAGGACAGCCAGGGCCATACATAGAAACCCTGTCTCAAAACAAAAAGAAAAAAGACTAGGGGTTACAGAAGAACACAATGGAAGAAGGTAGAATATTTTTTTAATTTCAATTTTTTTTCACAATGTATTTATTATATATCCCGACTGAAACCCCTCTCTCAATTCCTTCCAGCCCCACCCACCCTCCCACTTCCTCCCTATCTACTTCCCCTAGTCCACTGAAAGGGAGAGTTTTCCTCTGTTGCCATCTGCCCGTAGCTTGATAAGTCTCATCAGGACTGCCTGGGTCCTCTTCCTCTGTGGCCTGAAGCGAGTGATCAAAAAGCAGGCAACTGAGCATTAAAATTAAAAAAAAAGAATTGAGACGGGATCTTACACCACCATAGTACTAGTTGGACTCAAATTCATAGGTGAGCCTCCTGCCTCAGCCTACTTTGTGCTGGAGTTAGGAATGGGTGACACCACATCATTTGTAAAATTTACAATGAACCAAAAGCTGACTGATAAATCTCCACTGTATGTGGGAAAGATTATATCTCAAAGGAAACAATGGTGATAGCAAAACATGCATTCTGTGGGAAAGTGATTAGACTTAAATTGGCTTAATGGAGTTGTTTCATAGTTGACCCAAAATGCTTGTGTCTGAGTCCTCAAAACCTGGGGATCTGGGGCTGGAGCGATGGCTCAGTAGGCGAGCACTAACTGCTCTCGGAGAGGCCCTGGACTCATGTCCAGCACCAGCATGGGAGCTCACAACCATCTGTAACTCACATGGGAGACACTGTCTCCTTCAGCCTCTTTGGTCACTGCATGCACTGGCACTCATGAAGATAAAACACATAAACAACTCTGAGGGTGCTAAAGTATTTACCAGATGGGATGAGGATTCCCCCAGCTCTCTCTCTGTGTGTGTGTGTGTATGTCACACACTTGTGTGTAGAGACCACAGTGGGAATCACCCTGTTGGTTTTCTACTTTGTTCCCTGTGGCAAGGTCTCTCAGTCAAGCCCAGGGCCGCCTGATATGGCTAGCCAGCTTGCTTGGGGGTTCACAGCCGGAACTGCTGGTGAGCTGCCTCACCCATGGCACTTACATGGGCTTTGGGGATCTGAACTCCCTCCTTCACATTTGCAGGGAGAGTGGAAGGAGGAACAGAAGGGGTGAACAAGGAGCACATGGGCACCATGCTTAGTTGGGAGGACAGAGGTCGATGTAGGGTGTCTTCTATAATTGTCCACCATATTGTTTGAGACACGAGAAAGTCACCAATTCAGCAAGATCCTATTGTCTCCACTGGGGTTACAGGTGACCCTGATTTTTGACATGGGTGCTGGGTATCCAAACTCAGGTCCTTCCTGTGGCAAGCACTTTACCAACTGAGCTCTCTCCAATGTGTTGGATTCTAGACACCATTCTCAAAGGAGTCAGGTCTCCCAGGAGAAGTGTGGATTCTAGGGCCTCAAGTACAAGATGACCAGAGAAGCACCTTCCACTAGTGACAGACAGTAACAAAGATATCATAGGGTTCCAAGAGCTATCCTGAAAGAACTTCTGAGCTTAAAGCTAGAATAATTTGAGCAATAAAGTATGTGTGACATTATAGACACTAAGTATAAATATCAATGCTCTTGCATGGCATGAAGACACAGGCCTTTAGTCTCAGGACTAGTGAGGCAGAGGCAGGGGTCTGTGGAACAGGATACTCAAGTGGGGAGGGGAAGATGAGGGAGGGAATACAGGAAGAGACAGTTAAAATTAAGGGGTAGTATGGAAACCTAATACAGTAGAAGTTTCTTAAAATATATAAATATATGAAGGCAATCTAAATTAAATCACCAAATAATGAGAGAAGAGAGCTCCAACTGGACATGAAATGACATCTCTTGTCATCAAATGAAGTTTCCAGTACCTAGAATGGGTTACATCTAATTGAGTTTTTGGACACTTGTGGTACCATAGGAACCCTCAAGCCACCCAGGCTATTGCCAAGACTGTAGGATGCTCTCCACAAACTGATGGTAAGTCTCTGTTGCTGAAAACAACACCCACACAACTCATTGAACATGGAGACGTCAAGTTGGTGCCTACTTAGAGTCTTCGCCCCTACAGACGAGCACCTTTGGTATAGGAAGGTATTTAGCACACTACCAAAGGAGAAATGGAAACAGCAACCCAGCTAAAAACCTTTGATCTACGATGGTGGCCTGCCTACCAGATGTGCTAGTGCAATGGTGGCACAAAGCTTGTGGGAGCAACCAGCCAACATCTGCTTCACCTAAGGCCCACGCCAGGTGATCACATCCGCACCTGACGCTGCTTGGGTGACTAAGAATCTGACACTAGACAGCCCAGGGGCCAGGGTGAAACCAAGAACTGCTATTGTACTACATTAGCAATAAAGTGACTCTAATGTCCTTCTGCTAACAGCCAAACAGTACGCAGAGAATAAGAGACCTTGGAACACTCAGCCCTAAACAGGATGTCTCTATCAACTCCCTCCCCTCAGGGCTCAGGGGACCCACAAGGCAGAAAGAGTATAAGAGCCAGAGGGAATGGAGAACACCAAGAAAACAAAGCCATCTAAATTAACAGGATCTATGCACACATGGATTCACAAAAGATGGAGGCAACATGCTCAGAGCCTGCAAGGGTCTGCATTAGGATCCTAGAGCTGAAAGGAGAAAGTGGACACATGCCCCACCCCTAACCCAGAAGCTCTCTCCAATTGATAACCACTTGCAAATGGAAATCTAGTTTTCTCCAAGGGCACTCCTACTGGGGACACAAACTATTCCTATGCCTAAGCTGAAGATGGGCAACAGAGAACAAGCTCAGCCACCTCTTTGAAGGTTCCTTGTCTCATGTTAAGTTAGGTCTTGTGTGTATATTTTATTACACTCTTTGTTTTTTATATCATTTACACACACACACACACACACACACACACACACACACACTTATATGTATATTGTTTTGTTTTTTGAGACAGGATTTCTCTGTGTAGCCCTGACTGTATTGGAAGTCATTTTGTCAACCAGGCTGGCATCAAACTCACAGAAAGCTGTTTGCCTCTGCCTACCTTGTGCTAGGATAAAAGGCATGCACCACCACCTCTCAGCAACATTATATATCGATATGTATACACGTACATACACACATGTATATGTATGTATGTATTTCTCTCTTTTCCTCTTTTCCCCTTTTTGCCCTATGTGTCCTTTGCATATAGGCTTCCAATTTTATAGAATTCTTGAGTGTGTAAACAAGCAGGTCTCTGCATTTATATGTTTTTTGTGCCTTTTCTTCTGTTCGTTTTGTCCCGTTTGTTTTGACCTGTTGTGTTGGCTTTTTGTGTTAATCGTATCATATTGTATTATGATTGATATATCTCTATCTATCTCTATATCTCTCTGTCTGTCTGTCTATATTTGTTTTTTTCCAGACAGGGTTTCTTTGTGTGGCCTTGGCTGGACTGGAACTCTCAGCAATCAGCCTGCCTCTGCCTCCCTGAGTGCTGGGATTAAAGGTTTGAGCCACCGGGCCTGGTTGGCTCTTTGCTTTCTAATGAAAGACAGAGGGTAGATCCGGAGGGGAGGTGTGGAAAAACTGGGGGTAGTAGGGGGAAAGGATATTTTAAGTGAGGGGAGGATCTATTTACAGTGAAGAAGGGGGGGCGGGGAAGACGGCCACCCGCAGCACCACCCTCGACCTGTAGGGGACCCACTTCCCGTGACCGTCCTCTTCCTGAGGCCTGAATCTGCGTAGGAATTGGAAGGAGGCGTGTTCGCGCAAGCGCACTGGCACTGAAGTGATGGCGGCGGCCGAGCGGGCGTGGGGAGCTGTGGCGGGTGTAGCCCGGCTGTGCAGGCGGTAGGTGTCAGCGCCCGGGCCAGCGGTTCCCTGTCGCCTCCCTCTCATAAGGAGGGTGCTGGCGTTGACGGAGCCTTGTCCTGGCTTCCGAGGCCGGCCACCCTCCACGGAAGTCCAACCCCTTGTAGGTCCCGTGGAGATGCGCTCCGAAGGGAAGAACGTTCCTGGGGGTCGGTTCCTTCCCCTTCCCGGAAGGCACGTCCAAGGTCACGGCTCTGGAGGGAACCGACTCGAGGGAACCCATTGCCCAGGCTTGTGCCCCCGAGTGCTGTTCCTCTTTCAGAGCCACTCCCTCAGACATCTGTCAGACCTGCAGGTGACTCCTGTGGAAAAGGGCCTAACAGAATGCTTGAAGTTTCATATGCATTTTATGAGCCGGGCGTGGGAACCCACACCTGTCATCCCAGCAGCACTTGAGAGGTGAAGGCAGGAAGATCAGGAGTTCCAGGCCAGCATGGGCTATTTATGAGACAACCAACTCCCTACCCCTTTTTAAAACTGCTAAATGCATTTCATGAAAATAGATTAACAGAAGGATTTTGTGGGTTGCCCTCTGCTTTCGATGACTTTCCTCGAATTACTTTGCTCAGGATCGTTTAGACTTCAAACCTTCCTGCCAGTGTAAACTTCTAATTTATCCACTCTGCTGCTTTTTCCCAGGTTGAAGGAACAGCCGTACTTTAATACCAGGGTGTTTCTAAATCCTGGAGTATTCATTCCATTCAATTAATGCGAAGTTACTGGTTACTGTATAGTGACAGCATGTACTGTGTGGCGTGGTGTGTCCATGAATTGAAAGGTGTTCCTAAGGGAGAATGATCTAGAATGCATGGCTTTTGTTTCAAATGAGTGCTATACAGCAAACTGTAAAGACAGAAGACAGCAAGCAGCAAGAGGCTGGAGCACCAAAGCCGACACACAGTCTACCAGGCCAGGCCGGGGAGGCTCCAGGAACAAAGACAGTTAGCTGGGGATTCTGGTGGACACAGGAGCTCCAGGCTGGAGCGTCTTCTGGGTACGGCATTTCATTAGTCATTTCCATCACAGGCATTTTTTGTATCGTGGGATTAAGCAGTAGCTGAGTCTTGTACTTTGGGAAGGTGCCTGGGAATGGTTGACTTCCCAGGTGTGTTCAGCGACACTGTTCTTACTCCCACAGTTTGCTTTCCTGGTCTCAAAGGTATGGTGTTTTACTCTTGTGCTGTTTTGCTCTTCTGCTGTTCTTTTCTCGACAAAGGGTCTTGGAGGACAATTTAAAATAAACACTTAAGGCAGATAGATAGCTGTGAGTTCAAGGCTAGCCTGATATACAAAGCAAATTCTAGGCATCCTGGGCTACACAGTAAGACCCTCTCAAAAAAAAAAAAAAAAAAAAGTCAAGTCCAAGCTCTAATGTTTTTCACTACTGAATTGTACTTTTATTTCCTTTTCTAGTAGCAGTTAATTTCAAAGTTCCCTTTGGGTTTACTTTGATGAAGCGTTGAAAACAGCCATTCAGCGCTTCCCTTACTTAGAGTGGGATGAGGTTCCAGCCCTGGGTAATGTTTCCCGTCAAGTGTATAGCTTGTTGGCCACTCTAGCAGAGAAGAGGCAATCGTTTGTGTTCTGTTAGACTTTAGACTTGTGTTGGAATGAAGTGAGTGTCCTTTATCCTAAATATTTCATCCAGTGGAGTTTCTGACTTAGGTTTTGAGACACTTGTACTTACTGGGATACCTCGGGGGTAGAACTGAAGGGTAAACACAAGATTCATTTTTTTTTTTTTTTTTCATGATCTTCTTTCTCCCTTTCCCATAATGGAAATTGTGCACATTGTTTTTAGTGGGCTTTGGCAGGCCCCCATACATGAGGTCAGGTGTGGGATGGGTTGAAGCTTAGAACGTTTCAGATTTTTGCCCAGGAATGCTCATTCTGTCCTTTTTTTAAATTTTTCTCCCTCGCCCCCAATCTGGAACTCTCAAACTGAGGACTTTGCAAATGCTAGGCAAGCACTGTATGACTGCTGAGCTGCGCTACAGTCTTTACTCCCTGAAACAAGTACTGTAGTTCTCCCCAGGTGATGGTGGTAGAAGGCTGAAAGGGAAATCTTTCATTGTATGCACTTTGCTTAGGCTGTTTGCAGCCTAAGCTGTGACTCTGTTACTTAGCTTTTAAACGTTTAAAAAATAGTAAGCCAGCAGTGGTGGCCTCGTGTCTTCATCAGAAGGCAAAGGCCAGTGGATCACTGTGAGTTTGAGACCAGCCTGGTCTACAGAGGGAGTTCCAGGATAGTCAAAGCTACACAGAGAAACCCAGTCTTAAAAAACCTGAAGGAGGAAGAAGAGGAGGACAAGGAGAATTAAAAGTAAAAAGCCATTTTGTGGTTGAGGGTATGAGGCTGCAGATTTATATCACTTTGCACATTTCTGTTTTGGTTGCCTGAATATTAGTGTGTATTTCCACTTAACAGCCAAATGGTTTTCCATGTGTTTTTACCAGTGTTTTTATTTTATAGATGAGTGTTTTGCCTGCATGTATGTATGTGTGCCGCATGCAAGCCTAATGCCTAAGAATGTCAGAAGAGGTCTTGGGATCCCTTGGCACTGGAGTTGTAGACAATTATGAGCTACCGTGCAGGTTCTGGGAACCAAACTCAGACCCTCTACAAGAGCAACAAGTGCACTTAACTGCTGAGCCCTCCCTCCAGGCCTTTACCTCCCTTTTTAATTGTTTATATATTTGCTAAAGTAGAAATAATGTTGCAGATAGAAAATGCACCGCTAACTCTCTAATTCTTTTTATTGCTGGTTACATTTAAATCTTAGCAGTTTTACATAAACAAGAGAAGTATAAATTGACTTTAAAAGATCATATTGCTTGCTGGGTGTGGCACTTAGGTCTGTGATTGCAGAACTAGGGGAACAGAGGCAACAGTATCACACAATTCCAGGAGGCCACCTGGTTTATGGAGTGAGACCTGGTTTCAAAAAAACAAAACAGATCTGATTCCTTACCATGGTATTCATTGTTTGTTTTCAATGTAGGTTCTCTCGAGTGACTCCACACACCTTTAAGAAACAACCTCTGCACCAGTATGTACGAAGACCATTTTTCCTGCCGCGTGCACCCTTGGGTAACACAGGTACAGTTCCACCTCTTCAGAGAAAACTTGCGTTGTGAAAACCCATGGAACACTGCTTGAGTTAATAGTCATAAAAGACAAAGTTTTTAAGTTTTCTTTAAAAATTTTCAGAGGCAGGGATTTTCTGTGTAGCCTTGGCTGTCCTGGACTTGCTTTGTAGACCAGGCTGGCCTCTGCCTTCCTGAGTGCTGGGATGAAAGGTGTGTGCCACCATGCCTGGCTGAATTTGTCAATTTTCTGTTCAGAGGCTTATAAAAAGCACCCAGTGATTTCCTGTCCATTTTTCCTTCTGTGGTGAAACCATACTTCACTATAATTAGTCAGGGGACATATGATCTGTAGACCTGTAAAATCTCTATGTCTTATAAACATATTTTTAGAACATGAGTTGCCCAGTAATGATTTCTAAAATGAAATACTACTTAAAAAAAAAAAAAAAAAAAGAAGTTACAAGTGGTTTGAGTTTGGAAGACCCGACCCATGTGTCTTTTAAGGTGCTACTTTCTTTATTTCTATAGGAATATCTGTATAACTAAATTCCTGGCTTTTATCCAAACCTTCTAGCCTCTGATTTTGAGTGTAATTTGAAATGTGAGCATTGCAGTGTAGTTGGGGAAGCTTGGAGAAGGGGTGGCGTGCCTGGCTTGATGTGGTCACGCAGCCTCGCACAACTTCCTGTGGCCATGTTCTGGGCTGAGGAAGAGTGGCTAAGGGTATGAGTTAAACCATGAAGAGGTCTTCCTGCAGAGTGGAGATAAGGAATGGGTGTCTATGGCCTGCATGGTCCCTTGAATGACAGAAGGCCTAAGATGTAAACAGCGAGAACTCAGTACAACAGGCCACTTCAATTGGTTAAATTTTGTGGGGCTGCAGTTTGTGGTGTTCTTGCCTTTTCCAGTTGGACACCCACAGATTTCAGTCTTTGACAGTGACTTTCAGTTTCTATCTGTGTTGTGTAGGGACCCCTGTAGCTTCACTCTCCAGAGGGGAAAATACCATATTTTTCTTAATTTTTCTCCCCCAGTGTAAATAGATTGTATGGGTTGTTCAGTTTGGTCTGATGTTTTTAAGAGGATCTTGCTAAGTTCCCAAGGCTGGCCCGGAAGTTGCCATTGTAGCTGAGATTGTCATGAACTCATGGTTCTGGTCCTCAGCTTCCTGAGCCGGGGCTGCAGGCACTGAGCTGCTACATCTGCCTGATTCTAGCTTTCAAATAGATTTTGTTCTGATGTCTTTGTTTTTACATATATTATTTCACCCTTGGGAATTTCTAAAACCTCTTTTCTGTAGACCTGGATAACTCAGCATATTGAGTAGGGTAAAGGGAGAGTTAAACCTTCAGGTTGAGTATGGTGTGTACTGTGTATAATGTGTATGGTGACCTTAGTTCCCAGTAAATTATTAAGACAACCAAAAATGAAGCCAGGCTTGGGCGCACTTAATCCCAGCACTCTGTAGGCAGAGGCAGGCAGATCTCTGGTCCTCATAGTGAGCTCCAGGCCAGCCAAGGCTAGATAGGAGTCCCTGCTCAAACAAACAAGCAAACCTACAAAAAAATGACTGGTTCAGAATAGAAAGTAGTGGCAGTTTTCCTTAAATTTTTCTTTCAAAACTTATTACCTGTAATAAGTTTGGAGGAGCACAGGCATTTTAATGAAATGCTTCAGCATCAAAGTTCAAAGATTTTTAACATTTTAGGATCTCTCCTGTCAGATTGGAAAATTAAGCTTGTGCATCTTTTTTTTCTTTCCCTAATTTTTCTTACTTGTGTTTCTCTAAAATGAGCTCTTCAGGGAGCTACAAAGATGGCTCAGTGGTTCGAGCACTTACTTCTCTTGCAGAGGGCTAGGTTTGATTCCCAGCATCTACGTGGTAGCGTACAGCCATCTGTGACTACATCCTATAGGGTCTGCTGGCTCTGCAGCACACAAGGGCAGGCAGAACATTCATGCATACAAAATAGAAAAGAAAAATAAATAAATCTTTAGAAAAAAGAGCACTTCATTGTCCATAACTATTTTTTTCTAGCATAACACGCTTTCTCTTTTTCAGTACGATTCATGTTTATTCAAACACAAGACACCCCAAATCCCAACAGCCTAAAGTTTATACCAGGAAAGCCAGTTCTTGAGACAAGGACCATGGATTTCCCCACGCCAGCTGCGGCTTTGTGCTCCCCCCTGGCCAGGTACTGTTTCTGCTGGCTTTTACCAGGAAGCAAAGCAACCCCTGTGGTTCAGGCAGCCTTGCAGAGCTGGGACCTTTTACGGGCAGGGCTGATTTTAGAAGAGTTGAGATTGCAAAGGCTTTCTTTCTCCTGGGGAGTGTATCCACAGCTCTAGTATGAATGCTGTAAAATACTTCTAATTTTTATTTTATAATTTTTTTTTAATTAAGAAAAGTTCACCAAATGAGTAATTTTGATAAATTTTTGATCCAAATCTTTAAAACTCTAAATGTTAAAAAATTGTATGCATATATGTCGGGTGGGGGGCTGGGGGGAGTTTGAATATGTGTGAATGTGTGAGTGTGCATACACAAAGGCCAGAGGTCGACCTTGAGGGTCCTCTGCCACTGTCTATCTTGTTCTTTAGACAAGGACTCTCACTGAACCTGCTGCTCACTTCTTCAGCTAGACCAGCTGGCCAGAAGGTCGCAGGGCTCCTTCTGCCTCTGCCTCTGAAGCGCTGGGGTGACCGCTGCATACTGCAGGCCCCGCTTTTTACATGTCGCCTAGGAATCTGAACTCAGCTCCCCATGCTTGTGTGCCATTGGCTTTATCCACTGAGCCATTTTCCCCAGCATTTTTCATAATGTTTTGAGGTTGGTATCTCTTGAAGCCTAGGCTGGTCACAGACTCGCTGTGTGACAGGAGTTGGCCTTGAGCGTCCAGGGCCTCTGCTTCCTTGGTGTTGGGATTACAGATGTGTGCTGCCACATCCAGCTTAAACTCTGATTTTCAAGGACCCGGAAAAGGTGCTTCTTTAACTTCGTAAGAAAGGGTAGCTAAGGTTCTAGATTCTCACTTGGAACCATAAATGATTACAGTCGTCAGATGTGATGTGACCTTTTAATATCAGTGAGGACAGTTCCTAAATTCACGAGAGACAAGTTTTATGTCCGAGTGGTAACACATGCCAAGCCTCTGCGACACAGGGAAGGCGTTCGTACGGAGGTACAAGACTCAGTGTCCGCCGAGCTTGCTTTCTGTTTTCTCCCCTCTCCCCTCCCTCCCACCCGCCCTTTCTTGTTTCTCTTTATGTGGCGAAGGTGACTGACTGCATTCAGAGCCTTGTACATGCTACATATGTGTTCTGCCCGAGTCGCACCCTAATAACACATGACATTTCTGTGGTGATGCTACTTGCTGAGCACATGACAAAGTCAGCATAGGTTCCCTCCTGTGCATGGCCTGTGCCCTGTAGACCGCATTGAGGGCAGGTGAAAGTGAAGCTCAGATATAATTTGTCAGATTTCTAGTTGATAGATGTGCGTAATTTTTCTGACTTAAACATGCCATTTCTCAGAATGCACTGTAGAGCATTTATTTTTCATGCTGTTGATACAAACAACAGTAAGAAATGTGTATGTTATAACTCAGTGCATATACCTGTGTGTGTGCATAAGACAGATGTTTGATGGGTATTTCCACCATTTGCACTTGTACAACAGGTAATGGGGGGGGGGTGCTTAAGAGCACTTGCTGCTCTTGCAGAGAATTTCGAGTTCAAATTTCCAGGACTCACTCCATCTCCAAGGATCCAGTGCCCTCTTCTGGCCTCTTCAGACACTGCACGCATGTGCATCCACTCAGACATGCATACACTCAAATACAAATAAAAGCCAGGCATGGTGGCACACTTCTTTAATTCCCAACACTCAGGAGGCAGACGTAGGTGGATCTCTGAATTTGAGGCCAGCCTGGTTTACAGCTCAATTTCCAAAACAGCCAGGACTATACAGAGAAACCCTGCCTCAAAACAAAATAAACAACCAAAACACACACATACACACAGACCCAACCAATAAATAAATAAAATAATTATTCAAAAAATAACAATAGGAGATAGGCATTCTCATATTTTAATACTTCTTTTTGTTATTTAGTTTAGTTTTATTAAACATAACAAAGTCCTCTTTACTATTTAATTGATTTCATAGCTCCATACTGATTTTTTTTTTAAAGAATATAACTTTGGGAAACACCCCCACAAGCATACAAGGTTAGCTTAGAAATGTTCATTAGTCTAGCTTAGTCTAGTTGCACATGCATGCATACAAGCAAGCAAAACACACATAAAACACATAAATCTAAAACCAGCATCTACACACAGCCATACATCCTGTGTGTGTGTGTGTGTGTGTGTGTGTGTGTGTGTGTGTGTGTGTGAGTGTGTGAGTTTCGCAGTACTGGAGATTGAATCTTAGGGCCTTGGGCATGCCAGTCAGGAGCGTTAACCGCTCCTGTTAAGTGAAGAAACCAAGTTGCAGGACAGTGATACAATGTGATAATATTTGTACAACCTTCCTCCTAAATTAAAACAGCAAATGCTTCATTGAAGGTTCCTGGAGAAATGCACACCAGCACAGCCTTGGATTTTAACTTCTTAATTAATTTGATTTTAACTTCTTGGTGTTTTTGCTCTTTTGAGATGGAGTCTCAAGTAGCTCAAGCTAGCCTGGGACTACTGATCCTTTTGCCATCTCTTGAGTTCTGGGATTAAAGACAGGCTGTGATGCCTGTCTTTAACCTTGTATGTATTGTTGAAATGTCTACACCAAAAAAGAGTTCGTGCAGCCCAGTGTGGTGACATGTCCATAAGCCCAGCACCTTGGTGGCATAGGAGGACTAGAAATTTGAGGGTAGCCTGGGCTACACAGTGAGGCCCTGTTTTAAAATGTGCATGTACATGCACACGCGCACGCATGCGTGCACACACACACACACACACACACACACACACACACACATAGAGAAAACAAAATGAAACACAACTTCACTAGGGATATAGAGAGCTACGTGATAGAGCTCCCATTGAGCATGGACTAGGCCCTGGGCTCAGCTTTTTACCACCACCACCACCACCACCACCACCACACACACACACACACACACACACACACACACACACACACACATACACACAAACAGTCCTGTTTCTTGTATTCGTACAGTTTATTATCTTCAGCTCAGCATACTGATCTTTTGTTGTTGTAGTCCCTGAGCTGTTCAGGGAATGTTTTTGCTGTAATCTCCTGAGGAGAGGCCAGTCTGTCTTTGTCCTCCTAGAACCTGGCGCTTAGCGATGACAGATACGTGTGGAATGAATGAGCGTTAGTGTGTCTCACTTCAGGAAGGCTTCCAGAGTTGTCTTCATTTGTGGGTTTGTAGTGGTGCCCTCTTTTGTCCCGTGACACTGTAGTGCATTTTTTTTGCATGTACCAGAGCCTGTTCACCAGTTGTCCAGGTGATGGACATGTTCAGGTTGGGAGTGGAGGCCCAGTAAAAAGAGCCTGCCCTTCAGATTCACGTGTGTCTTTGAGGAGCAAGTGTGTGATTGCTCTTGAGAAAATACCTAGAGTGAAGCAGGAGATTGTCGGATAAGAGGGAACAGCCATCTTGAGTTAATGGCATTTTAGCCAGGGACACCTGGCATGTGTTTATCTTCGTTCATGACGTATTTTTCTCTTCTTTTTCTGTATTCACAGGCAGTTATTCCGGATCGAAGGGGTGAAAAGTGTCTTCTTTGGACCAGATTTCATCACAGTCACAAAGGTGCAGTTATCTAGTATAAACTAGATGAGCCAGTTTTTAGCTTTTGCTCAGGTTACTGCCCAGAATTGTTTTTCTGTTTGTTTGTTTGTTTTTGAGACAGGGTTTCATCATATAACCCTGGCTATCCTAGAACTCGCTCTGTAAACCACACTAGCCTGGAACTCACAGAGAGCTGCTGTCTCTGCCTCCTGAGTGCTGGCATAAAAGGTGTGCACCACTATGGCCTGGCCAGGATTTTCACTATCCTATGGTTTTCAATTTTTCCTTCCTTGGTTTTCCATAGTCTTCCTATATAGTCCAGGTTGGCCTGAAGCCTGTGGCCTTCATTGCTTGGCTCTCCCTGTTGCTGGCACTACAAACGTACCATCAGACCAACCTAGAATTTTCATTCTTAATATGCTAAGTTTTTTAATAACATATAGCATTGAAAAATCTCAGGTGAGAGGCTGGAGATGGAGCTCAGCAGTTAAAAGCACTGTCTGCCCTTGCAGAGAACCCAGTTTAGATTTCAAACACCCAAATGGCATCATACAAGCATCTATTACTCCAATTCCAGAGGATCCAGTACCCTCTCCTGAGGTCAGGGGGCACCAGCTATACACATGGTATATAGACATACATGCAGACAAAACAAAACCTCAGGTTATGTTTATTTCATTTGTGAAGTTAATGAAGGGCATTTTTAAGCTGCAGTTAATTATGGCCCAGGTTTAACTGTAATCCAGGAGCTTCATCCATTCAGAGAAAACACTTGAGTCTCAGCAGATTCAATGCAGTGTCCATGGCTAGCCCACAACAGGACACAGTCTTGTCCAGGGCTAGCCCACAGTAGGTTGGCAGGACTAGAATTTCAGCTTCCAGGCTACTGGAATAAAATTTATTTTATTTTTTATAAAATGTCTTAAAGTTAAAATTTTTAATTACATCTGTTATTCTGTGTGTGTGTTTGTGTTCGGACATGCACGAGGAGAGCAGAGGACAACTTACAGGAGGCAGTTCTCCCCTCACCATGTGGCCCCAGGTATTGAGTTCAGGTTGCCAACTTGCTGCCTCTATGCATGTTTTCACTAATTCTTTGGTGAGCTGATCGCATCAACAGGGAAGTAATTAAGTAAATGCTCTGAACGGCTCACCTGTGTGTCTGTCAGATGCCGGAGTGCACGCTCCTTCTCTGAAAGGGGGTGTACTCAGTTTTGACACGGGCACAAATGACTAGTTTCAGACACATGCGTGAATTTGCATAGTTCACTATCCCAAAGCGATACTGTGAGCTAGGAGTGGCAGTGCGCACCTTTAATCCCAGCACGCAGGAGGCAGAGGCACACAGGTCTCTGCGAGTTCAAGGTCAGTCTGGTCTACACAGTCAGTTCCAGGTCAGTAGAGCCGTGCGGTGAGACTCTGTCTCAAAAATGAAAAAAAAAAAAAAAAAAAAAAAAAAAATTCTTGAAAGACCTGAGGTGGGAATCTGGATTTGTCTTGCACTTGGCTGGAAATGCAATGTGTTTCTTCTACATGATTATAGGAGAATGAAGAATTAGACTGGAATTTACTGAAACCAGATATTTATGCAACAATTATGGACTTCTTTGCTTCTGGCTTACCCCTAGTGACCGAGGAAACACCACCAGGAGAAGCAGGTAGCGTTGTGTTGGGTAATCAGCACCTATCTATTTCTTATTGGATTTCCCGCTTCATTCACACTTGCCTCGATTTCAGAAGTGACCAGAATACGGATTTTTTAAAAAGGTTTATTAGTATATATTAATCATACAGAGTTATGGGTTTCAGTGTGGCCTTTGTACATGTATGTAGCGCGTTTTGACCATTACCCCTCTGTGCTCTTTCTTGCCTCCCTCACTCCTGAGGACTCTCTTCCTCTTCCCAGCTTTCCCGCATGCACTCTCGTGTGAGTGACTTCAGTGAGGGTTGCTCACTGTTAGGGTTGCTCGCCAGTGGCCACAGCTCTGTAGATGATGTCCCTCTTCCCCAGCATTGACGTCATGCAGGTCCTCGGAGAGCATGGGGCCTCGTGAGACCCTTCTCCTTCCACGTTCAGGGGCCTGAGCGGAGATTTTTTTTTTTAATTCTTTTTTATTTTATGTGTATGCCTGCATCTATGTCTGTGCACCATTTGTGTGCCTGGTGCCAGTGGAGACCAGGAGAGGGCATCAGATCCCCTGGAACTGGAGTTAACAGACAGTTGTGAGCCATGGTGTAGGTGCTAGGAATTAAATGTAGGCCCTCTGGAAGAGCAGCCAGATAGCGGTTACAGCTCTCCACCCCATCCCCCAGCCCTTGCATTCCTCCTGCCCCTCCCCCACACTCTGTGCCGCTCTGAGGCATGCTGGTAAAGATGTACAATTAGGGCTGAGCATTCAGCAGTCTCTTATGCTCAGCCTTTGACAAGTTATGAGTCTCCGCAGTAACTGTCACCCAGTGCATGAATAGGCTTCTTGACCAAAGCAGGTAGCAGTTCAAACCTGTGGGCATAAGCATTATTTTAAAAGAAAATTGGTGAGCACATCATGTGTACTTAGTAAAACAGTTGTAGCTTCCCCACAAGGGCCTATGACCTTCCTGCCACAGGTTTTGACCAGGTTACAATACCAGATATGACTTCCCACCCGTGGAGCTGGCCTCAGTTCCAATCAGAACGAGGTCGGGTTACCCCATATCAGGCTTGCCGCTGTTTTGCCAGTGCCTGACTTGTCTAGTAGTGTAGCATTGGGTCTACAGCTGAGTGAGAGAGTTGGCACAGTTGTCCCCAGCAGCCTGCATAGCACTTCTGACACTGTGAGCAGGGAGGGGACTTCTGGAGAGGAACATGGCTGCTCAGGCCAGAGATCAGATCCAAAGGTCTGTGTGGTCCAGCCAGAGTACAGACAAACGCCTTTAAACGAATCAGAGGAAGATTAGACAGAGTAGGATATGCTCAACTCTCATGACAGAGAGAAGAAATGGAAGCTATTTAAGGGGCAATGCAGAGAGAAAGAGGGAGAAAGAAAGAGGAGGCAGTATTGCTAGGAGAGTTTTATAGAGAGGTTGAATGAAAGATCAAGCTGGACACAGGTGAAAGCAGAATGAGAAGGAGCCAGATTACAGCAGGTTGCTGGAGTTAGGTTGAGGCCATGCAGAGCAATTCAGGGGCTGAGAGAGAAGCCAGATTGAATCAGTCAGGATGGAGAGGAGTTTGAGCCAGAATAGCTGAGTTGAACCAGACAGCGCAGGGCTCAGAAAGAACAAGAAAGGGTGAGCTTATTAAGCAGTAAGTCTAAAGACTGAAAACATTCTAGGTGTAGGTTACGTTGTTAGCTTTTTCAGGAGGAGTGTGCTGAGGAACAAACCAGCATTAGTTTCCTGTAGTTGCTTTAGACCTATTTTTAATGAACTATTAAGGGCACAAAACAGTGTGTGATGGTGCACACCTATGATCCCAGCACATAGAAGGCAGAGTTAGAACGACTGGTGCAAGTTTGTGGCTAGCCTGCTCTATAGGGCAAGTTCCAAGCCAACCAAGGCTTCCCGTTGAGAGCCTGTTTCAAAGAAACAAAGTGGGGGAGGAGAGGCGGGAGAGGAGAAAGACAGAGGCCCTGTGAGCTTGGGCGGCTTGCAGTCTTTTACTGATTTTGTAGGGTAGTGCTAAAACGAACGCATAGAATTGCTTTCCATTCTTTCCTGTGCTGTTTCACTGTTCTTGAGACAGGGTCTTGCTCTGTAGCTCAGGTTGGCCTGAAATTTACAATCCCCCTGCCTCCGTTTCCATGCTGACAGGATGGGTGAGCACTTCCATACCCAGTTTCTGGTTTTTGCTCTTAAACTGAGTAACTTGTGTCCTATCACAGCTTGCCTTCTCACTGCGTATAATCTTTTTGAAGGTCTACTATTCGCTTTAAGCACCGCGGTAGTCCATTTTGTGACAAAAGCACAGTTAATTTGTCCCTTCCTTGCTTACATTGCTGGCGCTGATGATGCAAGTACTGCTGTGGACATGCTGGTGCATTGTTCCTTTCCTTGCCCACTACGTGTGCTGATGTCTGTTTCAAATACTGCTGCAGTGGGCATCCTGGTGCAGGCTTCCGGGGGGGAGGGGGAAGTGTAGAGTTTTCCTAAGGGAACAGCAGCTGATTATTTGCTCATTAGCAGTTTATAAGAATTTCTGTTTTGTTATACTTTGGTCATCACTTCATGTCTTCTTTTTCTTTTTCCTGTTTGTGCTGAGACCCTGGACTTAGAGAGCTTGACCTGTACTCTACTCCTGAGCAGCTCTCTACTCCATTTGCTTTTTGTTTTCTTTTGTTTGTTGACCAGAGTCTCACTTTGTACTCTAGGCTGGTCTCAGACTTACTGTGTATCACATAGGCTGGCTTGAACTCTGAATCCTCTTGTCTCAACCCACTAGGTTTCCATGAGTGTAATTTCCCCAGCCAGTTACTTATTTAAACCAGTAGTCTTGGTCAGGGTTTCTTTCCTTTTCTTTTTTTTTTTTTTTTTTAAGATTTATTTATTTGTTTGTGTATTTATTTTATATATATGAGTGCTCTGTCTGCATGTACCTCTCTAGGTCAGAAGGGAGCATCGGATCACATTATAGGTGGTTGCTGGGACCTCTAGAAGTGCAGCCAGTGCTCTTAACCACTGAGCCATCTCTCTAGTTCTTAGTCAGGGTTTTTATTGCTATGAAGAGACACCATGACCACAGCAACTCTTAAAAGAAAACATTTAACTGGAGCTGGCTTAGAGTTCTGAGGTTTAGGCCATTATCATCATGACAGGAAGCATGACAGCCTGCAGGCAGACACAGTCCTGGAGAAGGAGCAGGAAGTTTTACATGTGGATTGGCAGACAGCCAAAGGACAGACAGATAGGCACGGGGCCTAGCTTGAACATTCGAAACCAGTGACACACTTCCTTCAACAAGACCACACCTCCATTCCCAATGAGCTTATGGGGGCCATTTTCATTCAAACCACCACACAGGATGTTAGGTCTAAAATGGTATCTTCCTTTTTTAAAAAAATTATCTATCTATCTATCTATCTATCTATCTATCTATCTATCTATCTAT